GGGGATCTTGCGGAGACCGCGGGCGTTCATGTAAGACTTGATGTCACGGGTGACAGCCTTGACGTAGGGAGCGCAGTTGGTGGTCTTGTCGTCGTTGATGACCTCGTTGGCAGAGAAGAACAACAGTGTGTTGTCGTACTTTGCGAACATCTCGACGGTAGCGAAGATGCTCTGGAGGTAGACCTTGTTGTACGACTTCTGGGGCTCGGCGCGGTTGATGGAGTACTTGGGGGTGTTGAGGTCGAGGGCGAGGTAGATACCAGCATCGGCAAGGAGACCCATGCAGGCGTCGTGGTTGGCGCTGTTGTCGACAGTGTAGATGCGGACGGTGTTGATGCCGAGCTCCTTGAACTTCTCAATGTCGCGCTTGCAGCCAGCCTCGTCGGCGATGGGGTCCTTTGCGTCGGAGGCGCCACCGGGCTGGTAGTCGACGCCGCGGATGTAGAAACGCTCGTTGCCAGCAAAGAAAGCTGTGGATGTTAGTACAGACTTGTATCTGTGATGGATGAGTTTACATACCATTTCCCTTGACAGTGACGGGGGTGATGTTGGCCCGCTTCTGGGTGGAGGCGGGGGTTGCAGCAGCGGAGGCCGCAAGGACGGCGGCAATGGCAAAGGTCTTCATGATGGTCGTGTGGGTGTTGATGATAATTACAGTTGAGCGATTGTTATAGCGACTGCGAGGCCGAAGTAAACAAGTAAAATACTTATAAATCCGAAGTAAAGAGCAACTCCCGTGAAACGAGTGTTAGAAGTTGCGATTAGAATAAAGGTGTAAGTAGCAAGAAGCACTTGGAGTCGTGAGATTGAAGAAGGAAGGATTCAACGGGGAACGCAGCAGGTTAAGCAGTCGACTGCGAGGGAGGCGACGCGTCCAATTCCCTAGTGGACTGCGCCTTCCGCCTGTGATAGGCTGCAACCCCGGTGGGGATCGGTCCTGGCTAGGAGACAAGCATGCAAGCAGCGCCAACCCCTGAACAAGCCGCACCAAGCCCACCTCCAAGCAGCCGCCAACGCGCATGAGCCCACCGTCAAGCCTAGCTAAGCAGACTGGCTCGCCGTGGCGATCATGCTTGGACCGACGGCAGTGAAGCGCGCTGAAACACGCGTCCGCCGTCAATCATTCACTGTTTTCTGCTGCGCAGACGCTGGCGATCGGTATCAAACGTCTCAACGCATGCCGCTGCCCATGTCGCGCAGGCGTGATGCCGAAATGACGGCCCACGGCTAAGATTGGATAGACGACGTCATGTGGAGGCATCGTGGGCTGCTGTTGCATCCATGGATCGCATGGCTGGCTGGTCGCTGCTCGCTTCCGAAACGGCGATACTGCCTACGCTGTGCTGTGAAACGAGGTAGTCGGTCCGCGCCTGGCACTGTTTTGACATCACGAGCGGTGAATTTTGGTGAGGCATTTCATTCATTGGCATTTCATCGGCTAATCATCAGCCTCCGTATCTCAAATGCTGGGAGGCGGTTTTCTGGCAGGCTAGTTCGCCATCGTATTATTAGAGCCCTGGCCAGCCTTCTCAACACAACATGTCCAGCCAGCACATCTGGGATCGAGTTCAAGAGCACGCCCTCTCCCCAAACGGATCCCCCGCTGTCTTGCCGCAGCTCTATCGATTATACCTGCGCCAGCCGGTCCAGAATCCCAGTAGCGGTCGAGACTTTCATGTTGGGAACGTAGTCTTTGTTTTACGGGCTTTTTGCCATCATACCACCAGCGCTAAGAACTATTCCTTGCCGACTTCCGTTCGCAAAGGCGCTCGTGTTTCTGGAACCGCCTCGTACCTCACGAACGGGTGTTCTAAAAGTAGACTTTATCTTGCATTGTGTTTACGGCTCGATAGAACCACGCGCATACCTTCAGATACAACCAAGAAAAACCTCCTTTGTATACACATTCGTCACTGCGGAGTGCAGCCCGGATCATTACTAATAATAAGAAAACAACGAGAAGTCATCCACTTCCCTATACAGAAACATAGTGCCAACATGATATCGCATCCTCCTCTTTTCACACCGCCACATGGTCATTACATCCTCTATTTGTCCTTGTTCTTCAATCCAAAGTATAGTCCAAGTACCAGCGCGATAACGGCCAGAATCAGGATGACGGTCAAGAGGATCCACCACTTGAGCCTGCGCGCGCGCCTGGCCGACTTGATGCCTTCGTCGAGCTGCTTGTTCGCATTCTCGGTATCGTCCTTGACTTGTACGGTTTGCTCCTCGGTCCGTTGGATGATCGGTTCTTGGTAGACGACCTGCTCGTTGAGCTGGGTGAAGAGGAGGGCAAGCTCGCCCATGGTCTTCTCGATGCGCTGGATGTCGTTGTGGCGGGCGCGCACGGCGCCAAGGACGCTCGAGGCTTGGCCGCTACGGTTGGACTTGAGCTGCGGATTGTTAGTGACGTATTTCCTGTTTCGTGCGATCTGTGTAAACTTACAGCTTGGGTGAAGATGCCCTCGTCACCCAGATCCGAGTTGGCAATCTCGTTGACCTCGGCATCCGTCGCATCCGGGTTGATGATGCGGTACTGGCGCCCGACAGCCTCGCGATACCTCATGGAGTAGTCTGCCTCCTCTTTCTGGAAGGCCTCGAGCTGTGTCTTAAACGTCCTCTTCAGCGCCTCCACCTGCGTCCTCTTGGTCCGGTCGTTGGGGTCGCGCACGGCATCCCTCTCGAGGAACTTGATCTCGTCCTTGATTTGGGTGTTCCTGATCTGCGTGGCGGTTACGATACTTTCGAGCTCGGCGGTGGAGCGGTTGTCGGGCGACGATAGCATGCGCTGGTGGACGCTTGCAATGGCTTGGATGTCGGATGTGAGCTGGCCGATGCGCCCCTTTGCGCCTTCGATGCGCGCGAAGAAGTCGTCGCGGCTGAGGGGCTGCGGTCCTGGCGCCTCCATGCCCGGGTTTCCGGTCGGCTCGCCGTACGCAGGCATGTTGTTCATGGGCACGTCGGTATGCGGTACGTTGGGTGGTTGTTGGTTTGCGCCGGGTTGCGAATATTGCGATGGCTGCGAATAGTTGGAGTCGCCATGACGTTGGAGGGGCGCCGGCGGGCTGAGCTGCTGGGCCTGGCCGTCATACTGTTTCGTCGCGTCAGTCTTTGAGTTCAGGCGGCGCGGTCGCGACTGCTTACTCCTCCGTCATAGGGGTTGGCTGAGCCGTAGCCGGTGCCTCCATATGGGTTTGATTGCGCGCCGTATCCAGCCTCGGCCTGGCCATACGGGTTGCCGCCGTATTGCTGATAGTTTTGCGACATGTTTGGTGTTGGCTGGGATGGATTGGCAGCGTTGGAGCGATGGTTTCGGAATGCCGCAGTGGAGCTTGAGATGAGCCGCGGAAGCTACGGAATCTTGCGCTGACCGACGGACGTGAGCGCGCGGCGATTAGTCCAACAATTGTTCCGCGCAACAAGACTAGTCTTGGTAAAATGAACAGCGGATGCTGGGTCGCTGGGACTGGCAGTGCTCAAAATCGATTAATTGAACCTTGCCGTGGCCTTGTTTTGATGTGGGCTGCGAGGGAAATTAAATGAAGGGACCCTGTTGAATCAGCGAGCTCTGAGCCGCGAAGACGCACGTCACCAACCGCACAAGAACGGGCAAGGCACGCCCTTAGTCATCGCTAGTGACGATCGCCCGGGCGTAGCGTGCAGTCCCGTGCGAGGCGCAGCATCACTGTCTCCATCGTCACGACAAGGCAGCATCGTTTTGATGGACCTCATTGTACACTCTCGTCATTTCAATACTGTGTGTTGTTCGCGCGATTGACCTGGAGTAGAAGTACAAGGCATGCAGCGTACTCAGGTCTAAATCTTGTCGCCCACGGTCATAACCCGAAAGAGGTAGTGTCCGATGCGATATCGATCCCGCCCTGCCGCCATCTTTGACTGGCCATGTTCAGAGACAACCGTGCAACCCGGAGAGCATGACTGCGCCCACAGCACTACTATGTCAGCGCCTACAACATAGAATATTGTTCTAAGGCACCCATTCGCAAGCACCACCCTTCTTGGCTAATATAGGATCTCGCTCGGCGTAACTCCTGGTGTAGACTGGGAACTATACAGGTTAGAGATGCACTTGTACACGGCGAAGCATATCAATGTCAATTCGCGACCAACACGTTTTCTACCACCATATACAAGGGAAAAGCTGAACACTCTAGAGCCTACGTTAACGTCAGGCTCCCTACTTTGCATGTCTTTATCTCAACATAGGCTCTAGGATCATCCCAAGGATTGAGCTAAGTTGCTAGATCGTTAGAAAAGAGTATCAAAGAGCGGATGTACCATCTTCTTCTCATTCTAGATAGACTCAAATGGCGCTTCTAGATGCAAGAGCGGTTAATTCTTGTCTGGAAAGAGCTTGTGAATCACGAGGCCCTTTCTACAGAGTGCATTATTAGGAGAATAGAACTAGATGCAGCCATGAGATCTGATCTAGTTCATATTCTTGGCAATAATCTTCTCCTCTTCGAGTATGCACAAGACTTGAGCGACTCAGCTCGCGGCATGATTGAGAAGTTCCCTCAAGACACCATGAGAGGCCTACGTCAACGTTTCGCCCCCCAGCATATCAAGATTTGACTCGTCAATTTGGTGCTGGGGTGAGCGCTGTTCGTCGAAAGCCGCCTGCGTCGAGGGCAATGCCAGAGGAGCCGGCTGGTCTTCACCAGGCTGACGAGTTCCATCCTGATGAGTTCCATGCTGACGATTTACATCCTGACAATTTTCATCCTGACGACCAGAGGTGCCCTCTCCTCGTTCGCCGCCTCCTCGTCCTTCTCCTCGCCCTTGCCCTTGTGCTTCCGCAACTCCCAACGAGTTAGGGTTCTCCGTCCGGCTGTAACAAGGTCTGCGCCGTGCGGTCATAAAAGGCGCAACCTCGTCCGGTCTATGCCGTTCCTGTAAACCCGCGACGAAAAACGATGCTTGGCTCTCGTAGCCGCTCTGAACTATCCAAGTACGTAAAGGAGCGCGCCATTTAGTTAGCTGGCCAGTGCAATCAAGCAAGCAGTGATAGTGATCTCCGCACCAGCTACAGGGGAAATGTTCTCGGTTTGCGTATAGGCGTTGTTGAAGGACGTCCCATGGAGCTGTGGGATTAGTGGATGAGATTTGATTGTGTCGGGCTGACTTACTTTGCTGACTTGACCTGGCTGTTCCTCTGAAGGGTGACATAGGTTTCCCATGGGTGCCTGGATCAGTACCCGTTCCTGGAAAGAACGGATATCCCGGGGCATCATTTGGGTAGTATAGGCCTGGCTGGTTCACACCTGGGCTTGGTATGTATGCCATTGTTGGATAGCCGAGGCCACCACCGCAATCGTCCCAAGTTCCAGAACCATAACCGCCGTTTGAAGCGGTAGAGCGTCTACCTCTTTGGCTAAAAGAACTGCCACCACCACCGCGGAAGTTGCTTCCTCGTCGTACAGGGCAATTAGCGCAGTCTTTTCCCGCGTGAGTAGAGTTGGGGCAGCCCACACAAAGTAGCTCACAATCCTGCTGATAGTGCGGGCCAGCGCAGTTGAAACACCAAACCATCGTTGCTGAGATTAGACTGAAGAGGTACCTCGAGCGGGTCAAAGATTGAGAGTATGCTACTCAACAAACAGGAAGCAATCTCAGATCTGGTGAGATGCAGTAGAGGATGAAGTCGAGGAACTGTTGCCGGTGTCTATGGAAGTCTTTATATCCTTCTCTTGACATCTCGCAAACTTATGTCGGATTTGCTTTACCGTGATTTCCACCGGCAAGCCGGCTTTGCTACAGTATGTTCATTGTCATAGTAGAAACCAAGCCCAGCCGTGCAGGTACCAGGGGTCGTAAGCGTTGCGTGACGCTACAGCCGCGGAACAATGCGACATGCTTGCTGCTTGACGCTTGTCGGCATCTGTACTGCCGAGGAGATTTAGTGTCAAATACGACGGCTCATTAATGATTATTGAACACGTTGGAGGAAGATGGCAGTAGGTGATTCCCAAGTCAGTTTGCCGCTTACATGATGTTGTGTCTCACCAAGTAGACAGTACTCAAGGTCTTGACTCATCATTCTCATAGTACGTGAGGGCGCTCCCCACAAGACGTGCGTTGAATGGAATGTACGCGTGCGAACAACAACTAGAAATAGACCATAACAACATTTACCACCCCATCCTCAGAAACCCATTCCTCGAGATCCCTCTTCACAGCCAAAACATCGTATCGTTCAAGGCTCGGTGCCAAGGTCCATGATCGTTCTGGGCCACCGCCTTTCCGTCTGCGTCAACTCCTCCTCCATTATCATCATACCTCTTCTCCCACGCCGTATCCTTCTTCAACGCATTCAACTCACGGTCACCCAAGCCCTGATCCTTACCCACATCTCTGAGCCCAGGGTCTGCCGGATTGAAGAAGTCGTGGAAGTAGCACCGCACTCGTTCGCACAGAAGATCTGCATAATACGCCGGTGGCGCGTACCCCACAGGCAGCGTTGCGCGGGCATATGTGTAGCAAAGCCAGTTGGTGAAGTTTTGAAGTTGCGCCGGGGTGAAGTTCATGCCGTTCTCTAAGACAAAGTAATGTGTTGGGCGCGCGGTTCCTGGTCCGGGGATATGTGATTGCAGGAAGAAATCGAAGTAGTTGGGATGTGTTACTACGGAGTCGACGACCGTGCCTGGTTTGCAATTGGGATTTTCCCTGTTTTGAGGAGGTTCCCCAGGAAAGAATCGAGTGTGATGGCGCTTAGTGACGACGACGGCGGTGATCAAGGGAGACTTGAGGTTGGGGATTTGTCGCGCTTCGGCAACGCTGGCGTAGGCTGCTCTAATCTTGCGCAATTCGTGAGCACGAACCTTGGGGTACTGTCCTGGGTCAACGCCGTCTCGGTAGTACAGGATGTTGGCTGGCATTCGTCCTTTGTTCCTTGCGGCAAAAGCATTGAGTCGCTGCTCAGCCATGCCTTGCAACTCATCGATGATCTAATCGCCAAGTTAGCTGAAGCCTGTAGTTCTATGGGAAATGCGAGGAATACCTCTTGGTTTTGAGTCTGATAGCTCACTGAGCCAGCATATCGGCCAAACGTTTCATCCACGCTACCGACTAGAGCAGCTAGAGAGCGAGTGGTCTCTTTGCTGCCCTTCTGTGCGTGAGTAACATCTGCGCCAAGGATCATGGTGTCAACCAAACCCGCTTTGTTGTAAAGCATAGGTATCAGTGCTCGACCGTCGTCTTCCTTCAACTTGACTATGTGGTTGACGTTGCCCAACTTGATGTTGACTTTCATGGCGATGTTGGCGAAATAGGGCTTGGGTTTCGAAAGAAAGCGGTCGCAGTTGGCTTGCATCACACATGTAGTGTGCATCCCATAGGCTTGGTCGGCAACCCGCTTGAACTGGTTGTAGAGTACCGTCGTGCCGTATCGGCTTGTCGACGGATTGACGAGGACCACGATGCCAGCGCCGAGGATCTTTGCCTTCTTAAGGCTTTGCTTGAGCTCAGCAACTATGTCTGCAGCGTTCTCGTTGAAGTTAATCGATTCGTCAAGGTGGCCGTTGGACGTACGCTGAATGCCAGTCTCGGAGAATTGCATCAAGAGCTGATCCACAACCCACTTGCCGTACCATTTGTCCACTTTATCGAAGATTGTTTGTGGAAGTAAGACCACAACCGGGCCAACGAAACGTATCTTCGTGTCATAGAACCGTCTCTCATATAGGCCCCAGGTCTTGGACACGTCCTGTACGAGCTCCTTTCCTTGCACTGATTTTGCACCATAGCACACATGGTGAAAGGTGGCCTTGTGGAAAGGTATAGAAAGCGGCTTCTGGCTCACTTTGATGCCTGCAGCACTCAAAACTGAGTTTGGGTGCTCTTGAGTCCCTACACCTAAGGTGGCGAGACCACGCTGGACGATGTTGTTCAAGGTTTCCCGGGGTAGTTTACTGGCAACTTCGAGCATTTTTTCTGTAGCTTCAGGGGAGAGCGACTTGACGTTCTGATGCTTCGCAATCTTCAGCGCTTCGACAGGATACCATTCTGGTGAAGTGTATGTGCCCATATCGGCGCACCGGAAGTCCGACACCGCAATCTGATCTAGGAGAATTCCGTCGATGGCCTTTGATCGCAGATAGTCGAGAACGGAGATCTGTGAGTTGCCAAAGTCGAAGAGCTGATCGCGAGGAGGCCTCCCAAATTGCTTGATCGTTCTCGTCTTGCCTGGAGTGTACGAGATTTCAACCTTGACGTTCTTGAGTGAGTTGTAGCTGTTGTTCGTCTTCCTCAAGTATGTCGATACGTTCAGCGGTTCGTAAAAGGCACTCGTAGCCGAGCTGACGTTCAGCAGTGGATATCCCATTCCAACCTTGACATTTGAGAAGAAACCGTGATGAGCGAAGACTCCAGGAGATAGCTCCTGCTTACCAGCCTCGGTAAAGATCTTCTTACTTCCGACGCGGAAAAGATCAGGATCGGAGGCCATGGTTGCCTTCGTGATGATCATGTTAAGTGCTCGGTCGATTGCAATGGTTTGAGCGCGTTGCAGGTCGATAGTGAACTGAGGAAGAACGCCGTGCGCAGCTTCGGTAAGGTCTCGAACGGGTATCTCGCCTTTGTATTGGAGCTTCAGAGTCTTGACGATCGCATCTAGGTTTTTGGATGGTATAGCTGGGCGGACTGTATACTCACACTCGGCCACGATCTTGTCAACTGGGACGGAGTTTGCATGGAATAAAGTAGTCGGTTTCGTCCATGAGACAATCTGCTGCATTGCATCGCTAGCATAGAGATGCTTCTGGGATCTGAGGAGTTCGTTTGAGTTGATAAGGCTTTCCATCATCAACCGCTGTTTTGCTGCCGGTGGAAGTTTGGTGTTTTCTTCATGAGGTTGTGTCTCGCCTGTTGGCTCAGCGGTGGAATCGGTAGGGCTTTCTTCAGCAACGGCTTCGTCTTGTTCTTCTTTCGTGTTGGTCTCAGCACCGGCTTCATCTCCTTCTTCTTTCTTGTCAGATTCAGAACCGACTTCGTCGTCTTCTTTTGTAACGGGTCGAGCGCTCTCAGCGCGGTCTTCCATTCCATTGACAACGAAATAGTAAAGCACCTCTGGTAGCTTGACCGTGAAATGATTTGTGAGGACGTGGTCGAGGCTGTTGAGACCTTGCGGTCCAACGAACGACGGGCGAATCTCGTGAACGCTGAGGCTATCGGCAGCATCTACACCTTGCTTCGCCTTTGCGAATAGACTGATGGCTTTTTGTCCAAACTGGGCACGGGTGTCAACTTGTTCACAGTCATTGTTGTTTCGTTGATTGCTGTTCGAAGGACCAGTGGACGGGGCGAAAGATTGTCCTGAGCCCCTGGGGGGTGCATTGAGACCAGGCGGCGCATTGTTTGTGGGTGGTGCATAACCTCTGGGTGGTGTTGGGCCTCTGGACGGTGCATAACCTCTAGGTGGCGGAAGACCTGTGGGCGGTGGTGGGACTCTAGGCGGTGCATAACCTCTAGGTGGCGGGGGACCTGAGGGCGGGGGTGGAACTCTAGGCGGTGCATAACCTCTGGGCTGTGGTGGACCTCTAGGTGGTGGAGGACCTCTGGGCGGGGGTGGACCTCCGGACGGCCTTCTACCTTGCGACATGATATTTCTCGTTACTAACTGAGAGTCTCACACTTGAAGAGCTGTTTTGAAAGCGAGACGTAGGTATGATGAAAAGCTTCCGCATACTGGAGAAGCGATACTCATATAATCGCATCCTGCACCTTGACAATCGTGCGTCATGTTTGGTATTCCCTAGACAAGTTGTATTAGCAAGCCAAACTATGCTCTGAACAAAAGCTCATGGCAGCAAGCTGTTAGATCAATCGCCAGATCAACGACAGCATGTCGGTGCTTGGAACACCGTTGCCGCTCCTAATATGTGCTTGCCACGCCCGTCGTGATTAATACAGGGTGTCAATTGCTATAATCCAGATCAACCCGGTGACTTCATGTAAACGTGTCTTTGTTAGACCTTGCATGCATCGCCTGACTCTACAATCCCAACACAAAGCGAAGCGCCAGGCGTCTCTGAGATCGCGAGAATTTGTTTACCAAAGCAAAATTTTGATAATCTTGATCAACTTGCGATTTCGGGTAAGTGGTAAGCAGTAACTCCGTACATTTGTGGACTGATGGCCGCGATACGCGTCGACCGATGTACTTGCAGCTTACGTCAAGCTGCTCCGCAGCCAGCATCATAGCTTTGCGCGTTTGTAGGTTTCGCACGATAAATTCATTGAAGCTAGATATCTGAAAAAAGAGAGACATCGCGCATTAGGCGATGTGGAGGTTAATGAGGAGCGTGGTGTAGGCGGGACGGAAAGACAGATGGAGTGACGCGTCTTGGGGAGGCTGGACGCTAGTGACATATTGGGTGAGTGTATTGCCTCATTGAGTGGATACCATCCATACAGCAACTTCGATACAATTCGCCATTCTCAATGCAGATTTTCGATAGCCGGTAGAAGAATATAGCCCTAGCTTATGAAGCCATACTATGCAAGAGACAGAACATCGCCACCAAATACGTTTCCGATAACTCCCGAGGTCACCGCGACCAAGAACCAAAGTCTCTCTTTCGACCCTCATGTCTCAAGTCTCATAAATACCAAATGCCGACACCCAATTTCAGCCCCCTCACTCCAGCCTCTCACTCGGAAACAGCCTCCTCTTCCTATTACTCCCACTAAGCAAATGCGCAAACTCCGGCGCCACAAACCCCCTATTAGCATTCCCTCCACCGCCTACCGGCATCGGCACCGAATACTTACTCACGCCCCCATCACCCCTATAACTGATATGCTGGCCATACGCGTCCACTGTAGGTCTACCCATCGGCCCATTAAACATGGGTCGGTTATGGTTGACCTTCATATCCCTAGCACGCAATAGACCTGCCTTCCTCTTTTCAACTTCTCCCGCGTCGGCGATAGCTTGGAGACGGGCTTCTTCGGCTTTGCGGGCGTCTTCGGCGTCGCGGTGGATGGGGCCGCCGATTATGCCGTGGCGGGTGAGGGGGTAGGATATGGAGGGGAGGAGAGAGGTACCACGGATGTAGGTGTCGGATATGTCGCCGAGGACTTCGAGGCCGGTTGTTGTGCCTGTGTACATGCTTGGTGCTTGGGGTAGGCGGCCTGGTATGAAGTTAGCACGTGTCTCATGTCTTCTTGTAAGTGGATGCTACTTACCCATTGGCATGCCCATTTTCGGTTTTCCGTACCAGAAGGGCTCGATGTTAAGGATTTGGGCGCGCGCTTTTTGGAGGGTTTTGTCGTCGTCGAAGCGTTCTTCCCAAGAGAGGAGGGTAAGATCGCGGAAGGCGTGGCGGAATGAGCGCATGGCGGTAGAGAAGTCACTGCCGCGGGGGCATAGCTCGCCGTTGTACGGAGCCTCTGGTGTTGGGGCTGGCTTGGTGATGATGGACAGCAGGCGGCTCGCTTCGGGTTGCTGAGTGATGTCGTTGTTGTTGGGAGATACTTGTTGCTTCACATCTTCCTTCTCTTCTTTCTCTGCTGCCGGTAAGATCTTGGCAGGCTTGTACTGTACAAGCGACCAGTACACATGCGGCTTTGTATGACTCTCCAATAGCCCAATATGGTACTATAGAGGCAGAGATGCGAGGTCAGTACATGTATCGCAAGCATTTCGTGGGTTCAGAGCTTACGTTTGCAGAGCCGTAGGGAGGATTGTCCACGCGTACAAGCAGGATCTTGTACTCGAAGCCGTCCGTATCTTGATAGTAGTGATAATCCTCTTTCCAGTGAGAGATCTTAGCTTGTTGGACTTTCTTGGAAGTAGAAGGGGGCTTGGATTTCTTGAGAGGTGTCTGGATAACAGCGACGGGCTTTGGAGAGTGGCTGGCCGGGCTTGGAGTGTCATCCATGACTTCAATAGAGTTCTTTGCTCGGCCCTCACAAGCTCCAGTTCCAGCACCCTCAGCCAATGCAGCTGCTCTCTCCGCCCTCCTACGCAAGAGGTCTTCCTTTGCAGAAACAAAAGGGATGGGCGCAACAGCCGGGGCAGACGTCGCAAAGAAGAAACTCTTGCTCTTTCTCGGCTTTCTCGTAACAACGGGAGATGTTTTCGACGTACCTGATCCAGTCAACCCTTCGATGTTCTCACAACCTTTCCTGAACTTACTGCCATCCGCCAGAGTACCTATCCTCTTCAGCTCTTTCTTCTTCCTCCTCTCTTTCATAAGTACTTCCCATGTGTACTTCCTAGTACCGAGCTTCTTCTTTGCTTGCAACGAGTCGTCAAACCAGTCATAGCTGACTACGTGGATGTTGAGGTCGGTGGCTTGTTGTACAGCGTCGGCGGGTTTCTTGTATGCCTCTTTACTGGCGATGAGGTGGGTGACGCTCTTGTTGATCTTCGCAGAGTATTTGCCGTCGTTTCGCTCGATCCAGGCTTTGATCTGTTTAGCATCATGGGGATGGGTACCAACAACGGCAATAGTAAGCTTGTCCAACACACCCATTGTAGCGGCGCGGTGGTCGGATTGTAGACTGTAGGAGTGATGGCGTGTAAAGTTGCTTGACGGCGTAGATGAGGGCTTATGATGTCCAGACTGAGGGTCTAAATCTGGCGAGTCCCTCGTTGGTCTTACCTTGTGGTGGTGGGCAGCGGTTGAAGTGATATAGCGTTTGCCGGGGCCGTGCGGCTGCCATCAAGAGGTAAGAGACGCCGACAAAGCGACTCCAGGCCGCTATTTGCGGCGGCACAAACCATCATCGTCGGAATATTGAGCTGCCTGACTCGTAAGGAGAAGAGGACCAAAGAGAGTATTTCAAGAAAGATCAGAAGAATGCTGGGCCATTTTTGTTACATTTGATAATTCCGAAGATCACCTTCAGCTTCGGTAGTCGTATTCTGAACCGCCACTACTAGTTCTTCGCTGCCTTGATGAATGCCCGTATCTTATCCAGACTTTGCTTGCCATCTTCTTCCACACCGCTGCTGACGTCGACAGCATGCACGCGGTCCCGGTACTCATCGAGTCCAGCGAGCGTAGCTTGGACGTTGTCGGGGTTCAATCCTCCTGCTAATATGACCTTGATACCGTCATCTTTCGCGAATACTGCCTTGACATCTGAGAGATCTAGTTGCTGACCCGAGCCGCCGGATCCTGCATCCAGAAGTGGTAGGGCGTGATACCCTCTTGAGCCAATGCCAAGGTTGTGTGGGTTGAATGCTCTCAAGACAGGGACAGGAACAAGCTTTGCCCACTCTAATGGCTCCTGACCATGGAATTGTACCACGTCTAGATTCAGCAGTCGCTGCTGTTCAAGTACGTACTCCAGTGACTGATTTCGGAACACGCCTACGAGAAGCGCGTGACTGTCACTTGACACTAGTCGTGCTGCGCCGTGCTCAAAGAAATCGGTGGCGGACTTTGATTCGGCAAGCAGCCCAGATTTCGAGACCACAGGCTTTCTGGTCTTGTGTACGGTTTCCGAGATTTCCAGAGCTGTCTCAGCCGTGACTGTTCGCTTGGTTCCTGGTGCGAGGATCATGCCGATAAGGTCAGCTCCTGCTTCGATTGCGACTTTCGCGGCCTCAGCACTGCGAGTACCACAGATCTTCACCATCGGACTTGATGCTGTTCCCGTCTTCTTGGTAGATGAGCCACCCAGAAGCTCCGCGATGAACTGAGCGGTGTCGGATGCGCGCATCAGCGCTTCACCCACCAAAACTGCGCCAACTCCACTTTTGATGTATGGTTCGACATCCTTTGGCCCGGCAATACCGCTTAGCGCACACAAAATCGTCTCTTTTGGAACCATGTTGATTAGACGGTTGGTAGTTTCCATGTCGACCTCGAAGTTCACAAGGTTACGGTTGTTCACACCAATGACCTGAGCGCCCAGCTTGACCGCAATCTCCGTTTCTTCCGCGTTCTGGACCTCGACGAGAGGCTCCATTCCAAGTGATCGGGAGTAGTCGTAGAGTTTCTTCAAGACTGCTTCATCCAGCATCTTGACGATCAGCAACACTGTATCGGCACCCGCGAGCCTAGCTTCCAGGATCTGATACTCCTCGAAGATGAACTCCTTGCGCAGGACGGCAGGACGGTTCGGCATGCCTTCCAAGCTTTGTCGAACAGCTTTGAGGTCGTCGATGCTACCCTTGAACCATTCCGGCTCAGTAAGTACGGATATCGTGCTTGCACCGGCCTTTGCGTACAGCCTTGCTTGAGCGGGAGCGCATGCGGACAGTGAAATTATGCCCTTGGAGGGTGATGCGCGTTTGATTTCGGCCATGAGTGACAGTCGGAAGGGCGATTGCCTGAGACGCTCGGGGAAGTTGATTTGAGGAGGCGCTAGGTTGAGATCGTACGCAGCCTGTAGATCACTGGGTCGTTGGGACGGAATCTCCTTCTGCTTAGCGACCGAGGCCCTGCGATGGTCGTAGATCTTCTCCAGTATGGATGTCTGCTTGTCCTTCTTTGCGCCGGTTGCTGTGCCGTTCGAACCAGCCCCGACTGCTTGGGCATGTGCCTCTTTCTGTAGTCGTTCATTTTCGGCCCAGGTGCCTCCCTGCATCTTCAGGAAGTTTCTCACCATGAGCCGGCCATCCTCTGTCAGGATGCTCTCCGGGTGGAACTGTACACCCTCCATGACGTATTCCTTGTGTCGCACACCCATAACGACTTCCTTGACTTCGGCCTCTTCGTTCGCGGGTATGGTCGCAGTTACCTCGAGGCAGTCTGGGAGAGTGCCGTGGGTGCCGGCGAGGGAGTGGTAGCGCGTCACGGGGACGTTTTGCGAGACGCCTGCGAAGACGCCCTTGCCGTCGTGCTTGAGAGGCGACGTTTTGCCGTGCAGGACCTGGCCTGTGACGTCTACAGTACCGCCGTAGCTGTAGAAGATGCACTGTCTTGATCGTGTCAGCACTGCCCCGCCTGTTGCGCCCACCGGAAACCGAGAACTCACTCGCCCATGCACACGCCGAAAATCGGGATCTTGCCGCTGTAGTGCTTGATGGCCGCATTGCTAATGCCTGCATCCTTCTCAGGGTGTCCTGGACCTGGGCTGATTACCAGTTGTGTAGGGTTTTTTGCGATGAGGTCTTCGAGGGTAATCTCGTCATTTCGGTACACGGTCACTTTGGCGCCTTCGAAGACGAGGTACTGGTAGACATTCCAGGTGAACGAGTCGTAGTTGTCAATGAGTATAACGTTGGAAGCGGTGGGGATGGGCGGAGAGGGCGTGGGATTGCTGGGCGAGTGGTCGATTAGTTCGAGGGCGGGCATCTTGGGCGGTGTTCTGCGTCAGCGTTGCCGTCGCGTTGGAAGCCCGGTGGCTGTTATGTAGCTTCGTCTGAGTACCCTCCGGCGGTCAGATGGCAGAAAGCGCGCCGGCCCTTTGACGGCGAGGTCAACGTTTGGAATATATTAGTGGCCGATTAACGGAGTGCGCGCCGGGAGATGTGAGTGCACTTTGGGACGGCAAGGTGGAAAGGAATGGCTGTCAACCAGAGTGGTGGGGTGACTCAATGATGCACTATTCAGATATTGAGGCTGCGGAGTTAGCACGGAGGTGGCATGAATCGGTCCTTAGTGCTACGGCACCGTACTTCGTGTCTGGTACAGCAAGGCCGCTATTGCGCGACCTCTTGGATGAAGAAAATGTAACAGATTATGCAGACTCTGGATATACCAAAGAACGGGTATGTTTCTGCGTGCAGGCAGTCCGCGGGCAACTTCCTGCTGCATTGTTGGCAGGAGGTAATTGGAACTCAAAGAAAACCCATTGCGACGCGAACCAACACGCGCGAAAGTATATGGCGATACCATTTCTATGCGAGTCTGAGGTTTTTGCAAAACATTGAAGCGTGTGTGTGATAGGTGTCGGGGAGGGATCGCAAGAAAGAGCCCTTGTGATGATCCCTGCACGTACTAGCTCGACTTTCGCGTGAGCTTTGGCTTTCGCGACTTTCGTAGCCATTGACGCCAAACATTCGGCAACACGACCCCCACGCCTCTCCAGCACCTTCATGGCCTTTGGGTAGCTGATTAAACACTCGCGCACTGCAGCGCAACCATGGCCCCCATCCAATCCCCCGAGTTCGACCTGGGCAAGTGCCTCAAGGGCGAGCAGCAGCTTGTGTATGTTTACCTGCATCGAGCGCAGCAACGTAGCTGACGATAGCAGCACCTGGGACATCGCATACCGCGCCCTCTGCGACCCCGAAACCGCGTCCAAGAGCGACGCCCTACGCGCCTTCCTCACCGCCAACGAGAACAGAGACATCCTCAGCCACCCGTGGAAGCCCTTTCCCGACCCATCGTCGCAGGAGAAGAGCAAATTCGAATCAAAGACCGCGCCCATCAGCGTCACTCCCGCCCAGAGCGAACACTACGATGTAGCAGAGATCAAGGACGACAGCCTGTGGCTGGCCAAAGAGGCGCAGATATCAGAATATGCAGCGCTGCAGTTGGTCGTCCAGGAATGGCAGGGCAGGCCAACCGCACAGCTGTTGAGTGGACTCACTGAAGAGGAGGCCCTCAGCGTACAGGAAGCCGCAGGAGTCGGGAATCTAGGCGCCTCGACTTTCGTCCCAAACTCATCCATCATGGCCTCACCGCTCGCTTCCAAGACCGCGCATCTCGATGCAAAGGACCAGCGCCGCCTCCACATCCTTGACGTCTACCACTCGACGTGCGCGTCCATCATACGCATCAGCCAGCTTCTGGTCTCGTGGGGCTGCGCGTCCAACTTGCGCAGCCAAACCATCTACGGCAACGACTACCTAAGCATTGGCGCCGGCTGGATTGAAGAGCTTGGACAGGCTATCGCAGCGGCGCAAGATGGCCCCTCGGGCGGAAAGGCGCTAGACGAGTTGCTCAAAGCGTTCACCAAAAGATGCGACGCTTTAGACACCGGCTACGGCTGGGACGTCGACGAGTCGATACTAGAGCCTGCGTCGGAGAAATGGGTCGTCGCGCAGACTACAGAGATGCTGCATATCCTTCACCTGGCCTTGGTACATGCAGACTTGGTCGCGAAGGACTTCCTACCTGCGGCTACCATCGAGGACTGGCTCAAAGCCTTCAGTTTCCGCGGCTTTTTCCGCGAGTTCCCTGCAGTCACCGCTCGCCAGGAACCTCTCATTCCGGTGATACAACTGCTGACTTCACTCATGTCTCTGACCATCTTGAAAGTGGACAAAATTATGGATGATCTCGAATCCGGTAACTGCAACGCCTGGGACTCCTCATCGTATATTCTCAACGGCACAGTTGTCGAGAGCATTACCACCATCTTCGGAGAGGCCAAATTGTTGGGCGCGAGTCCGGCCACACCACCTACATTCGCCTGGGCTATCCTGACTTGGAGGCTCACCACCCGTGCGAGCTACGAGGAACAAGAGCGTGACCGTCTCATCGAAGCGTCGAACGACACAGGGAACACGGAACCTCAGACTTCGCCACTGGAAGAGGCTGCTTTAGTTGTGGCTAGACTTGAAAATCATGAG